CTATTATTCTCATCTCTAGATTAGAGGTTAACAGGTACAAAATCTTGCCTATCCAGTTCTCAAAAAAAAATAGCTTCACAATTCCTGGAAGATACCTCAGGCTTCTATGTGCAGAGAGTATGACAGGGCTAAAGTTTTTAATAGCCTTTCAAGTAGTTCTCCTTCCCTGATATAAAGTTTCTTAGATGAAATTTTATTCCTCAATTGATTCTTTGAGTACAAATAGATTTACATGTAGACTAAGCCTGCATTTCAAATCTGTTTTTATTTTTATTCTTTACTTGCTCTCAAACTGATAGACATCACTTGGGAGGCAGCAAAAAGAATAGGTGTTGTCCAGTCTTACTGACCATGCATGCAAAGCACTAACATATTGATACAACACCTTTAATAGAAAACTATTTAAGGGAGCTCTCTTATACTCATACTGATCTCTGAAAAATAACTGAATAATTCCTGGAAGACCCTACGAATGTTGAGAGCGCCTGAAGGGCTTTTACAGGTCTAACAACTTTAAAACAGCCTATACTGACTAATTGGTTTTCTGTAAATAGCTTTTCTATTCCAATAAGATCACAGGAATGGTGAAAGAGTGGAAGATCAGCGTCTGCTTCATAGTACAGGCCTCTGATTGGGAGGAGGTTATGTTCAGAATTTTGGCTTAATATCAGCTGAATGTGCCAGATTTTCACAAATGTTCTTTTTTATGGCATGTTTGAAGTGCAGTATAGATTCTGTGCTTGGCAAATACTTTTTTAGTTAAGCAGCTTGTTAATCCATAACTTACTAGCATCACAAATGAGGCCAAGTTGTAAAGTTACAGCAGTGGAGGCTGTGCCAAGCGTTGTCACTGGAATGTGAGAATGCTTGGCACAATGCTTGAACGCACAACAAGAAGAACTATTCAATCAATAAAGTCAGTTTAAACTTTATCTAAACTGATTTACACATATCTTTTTTATTAGGTTATGAGACAATATTAATGTGTAAATGTATCAAGCTTTAAATTTCAGAGCTGACTTGTTAGAAACAAACATCATCGGTTCCGGCTTCTGGACACACAGAGCTGTCCGACAGTGGCTTAAAGCCCCAAAACACTTTAAATACGGCCTACAGTTAAACTCATGGTGATTTTAAAGGCCTGAAAGGTTTGCTGCTTACTGTCCAACCAGCACTGACACAGAGAGGTGAGCAGTGAGGGAATAGGACTATGGTTGAATGTCTGGCTCAGCTCCACATCGATTGGTACTTGCTTTCCACATAGAAACAGGGGAAGATTTGTCACTGGCTTGTAAAGCTGGGGGTTGGTCTTGTTGCCAGGGAGGTGCTGGAAGGATGCCAGTGTTCTTCTTTTTTTTTTTTCCAACAAACTCCAGATGTTTCTGACCACATCAATAAACATTTACAAGATAAAATAGAAGTTAAAGTTCTAAGCATCATCAGATTATTTTTAGTCAAATAAATAATCAGTAAGATTTATTTTATTTTATTTTTTAAAAAAAAAAGGTAATTAAGGACAGAATTCCTGCTGCTGGCCAAAATAGACTCAGATTTATTCTCAGAACCTTATACTTATTGATATTTATTTTTATTTTCTGCAGATAACATACATGATAATAAATGTTTCGGTAAATGGCAGATAAAGATATCAGTGCCTAAAAATTTGCACAATAACAGGAGGAAAATAGAAGTCTTTGTGAAGGTACACAGCAGACTATGCCTGACGCAGGACAAACCATAGCCAAAGGGATGCCTGACATCACTTTTAAAATGCAAGGCATGCTGTGTAAACAGGTGGAAATGTTTAGTGTAGCCTGCACCAGTGTAACAGGGTAAACCGGTATTGTGTGTACATTAAAACTGGCAGTGATTTTGGAGCGTGTATGTGTTCCACTTTTGCAATGAGCCAATGGCTGTGGTTGGGCGGGGTTAACTACTTCTACTTTTATATACTTATGCCACACACTACAAACACTGCTGTCACATTTTGTTTTTCTCTGTACAGGTATATTACATAGCCCAGATTTACGATGGTTTAGATTAACATCAATGTGTTTATAACAGATGTTCTTGGACTGTGTGTTTTGTTCCTTCTGTAAATGGGATGCTATATATTATATTATAGCTGGGACTGTTTCTGTTGACTATTTTTTTCGAATAAATTACATTTTAAAATTTTAATAAGAGTATGTCATTTTTCTGCCCTCAGCTGAGTCTGTGTGTTACACCAAAAAGCAATTATGATAAGTGATTTCCATAAGGCTAGATTTGCACTGAAGCTTTATTTTACGGTACTGATTAACTACAAGTGTTCTAAATGTGTATGCATTTGTATGCTGATTGGGGAAATAACATTATTTAATTTTCTCTGGAGGTCCCTTGAAGGTTCCGCAAAACTAACCTTGAGTGAATGTACATTCAGAAAGTGTGTGTAATCAGATTAGTAAAATGAATCTGTAAGCATGCGAGTATAATGGCTGAAAAGCCATTGCATTGAAAATGCAAACAGGTCACCAATTGCAGCTCACCAAGCTTTCCAGTTGGCTGGCTTTTTATATGTAACATTTGCTACACTTCTGTGGCAGTTCCACAAAAAAAAGAAAAGAAAAAAGAAATATATATATATATATATATATATATATGGCATGATTTCTGTAGTAAAACCAGTTCAGTACTGTTCAATCAACACATGTACAGGTTGGTAATGTAACTGTTTTATAATATTACCTTTAATTTATCCAGCTGTAACTGTCACTGAGATTGAGAATGTCCTTTTCAAGAGTAACGTTAGCAAGAAGTGAGCAATAATTACAAGTAGAAATTGAACATAAACACACAAATACACATAGGGCTCATTACATCCAGTCAAAATAGGTACAATTCAAACTGACCTAAGAGACTTTGGTAAGCTGTGTGTGTCTTTACAATTCAAGCGATCATCTTAGAGTAGCAGCACACAGTCCACAAAAGCAGCAGCTGACCAGTGAAGAATACTGGTATATTGACTGAGAGCAGCTCTAATCAGCTAACAGCTGGCTGACTGCTGGAGAGCCTTGGATGACAAGCCAACAGCAGCCACTAGCTCTGGGAGGAAAACCAACACTGATAACTAAACGTAAATATACACATGAACAATCACAATATGCCAATTTACATTAAAATAATCTATAATATCTATGTCTTTTTACTTATTAGTTTTTTTATTTGACTAATAATGGGCAAAGCCATGGTGTGCGAGAACACGGTAGAGTTATTAAATGTTAAGAAAAATAAAGCTGCCCACATAATCGGCACTTTATTCACACCGAGTAAATAAACAGTGTCTGGACTTTAATGCACAAGAAGGTAAACTTTAAGTGACCCTGTCTCCTGATAGAAATATTTGCATAGCCCTTAATCATAAAAATATAATAATCATAAAAACAGATCTCCTGGGGCCCCCTCCTGGCAGGTTTATGTACATGCAGAGTGAAACGAAAGGTCACACAAACTCGTTTCCTGTGTACAAACAAATTGTTAACTGAGAGGTAGTAGCGAACGATGGAAACACCAGCTTAGTCTTAGAATAGTGCTGACTAGCCAAAAGCACAATCTAAAGAAACAGCTGAGAAACAAAGTCATTTACATGTCTGAAAATGGTTTAAAAGCCATTTCTAAGGCCTTGGTACTCCAGCTAACCATGATGAGAGCCGTTATCCTCAAATTGGAACAGTGGTAAATCTTCCCAGGAGTGGCCAGCCTATCAAAGAAACCCCAAGAACGCATCCGTAATTCATCCAGGAGGTCACAAAAGAACCCAGGACAACATCTAAAGAACGGCAGGCCTCATTTGCCTCAGTTAAAGTCAGAGTTCATGATATAATAATAAGAAGGGGACTGGGAGGAACATGACATGTATGGGAGAGTTTCAAGGTAAAATGCACTGCTGACCAAAAGAACACAAAGACTTGTCTCACATTTACAACACGACCCATCTTGATGATCCTCCATACTTTTGGAAAATTATTCTGTGGACTGATGAGGTCAAAGTTGAACTTTGTGGAAGGTTTGAGTCCCGTTACATCTGGTGAAAAATAGGACAGCATAGCATTTAATAAAACAAAACAAAACAAAACAAAACAAAAAAACCCCCAAAAAAACATCACACCAACAGTCAGACATGGTACTGGTAGTGTGATGGCCTGAGGTCTGCTTTGCTAAAGCTGTAGTTACTTATCATTTTGCAGATTCACTGGAATATTATAAATGAGCTATCAGCAATATCTAAGCAACACCTGTCATTGATTCAATTATTATGGTCCAACAACACAGTGTATATGATTCTGTCAGTCATTCTACATAATGAGCTGATGCACTACAGTGGTGTTACAACTTTAATTTAAGTAAATAGTTTGGGTGCTTTTTTTCCACTTTGAAAGCAACATTTACCAAATCAAATTGGGTTTAAATTCTTGGGAAGCACCATATTTCACCACAGCTGAATGTCTGTCTCCATCTCACCGTCTCCCTAGGACCCTTTCTCTCACACCAATGGTCCTCCTCTTTACCTGCTCCATGGCAGCTCCATATTCAACATCCATTCTGCAATATATCCACTGTCCCCTCCCCTCTGCACATGTCCAAACCATCTCAGCCTTACCACTCTGACTTGGCTTCAGAGGCCCAACCTCAGCTATTTCATTTCTTACCCTGTCCAACCTGCTCACAGTGCATCTGCATTGCATTGTAAATATTAGTCAAAATGAAATTAAGCCCAACAAGGAACTGAAGGACACAATGGAGCTGAGGTGAGCTGTGATAGTGCCACACTGCTGTCTCAGTCCTGGACTCTCAAGTCTGGACTCCCCTAAGAACTTACTGAGTCCGAAGGAGAGAAACGCCCGTGTGATATTTTTATCATGAGAAGACAAGACTTCCGCAAAGTAACTCAAAACTCTACTACGTGTACAATGTAACTATTTAAATGACGTCAGAGTCGCTTAATTTATCCGCTCTTTGATTGGACGGTGTGTGTTTACGTAGCAACGGGCCGGAAGATGTCGCTTGGGCCAGTCCTAAAAAACTTCCGCCTTAAGTTGTAGAGAAAACACAGCAGCTAAAAAGGCTATCGACGGCGTAACCATCCCATTTACGAAGTCAGACAAAAGGTAGATACCTGCTCACATTTTTGACACGTACTGTAATGTACACATTTGCCCAAACCAGCCGGTTGGCGTGTTTTAGGATCTCAAAAAATATAAATCCAGAAATTACCAGAGCTAGCACGGAAGCTCGGCTCTTCACTGCTAGCAGTTCGCTACCATCGATATGCTCGGCCATAGGCCTCAGGTTGATATCTTTACGGGTAGATTGCGATAAATATAATACTATACCCACCCATTTGTTGTTCTGACTCTTGATTTTAACAGTCTTAAGAAAAATAGCCAGTTCAATGTAACGTCTACTTTATATCTACTCGGTTAGCTACGTCCAGTTAGCCGAGTCTCAAATACCTGGACTTGTATACATCCAGTAAGCTGCTTAAGTGGTTGGGTTTGCCAGCTACCATCGCGTTTGGTTGAAAAATAGTAATGTTAATCTAGTTTATGACTTTGAAAAAAAAATCTAAACATTTGTTTTAATGTAAACGTAATGACATCGAGAGATATTTGGCTAGCCTAGCTGAATACCCCAAATGGTATTTAGGAGGCTAATGTCTGATCTACATCTCCAAACTTTTTTGTTGTTCTGTCATTCCTTTTGGGCGTTTACATATTTTGATATGAATCAACGGAATTATGAATGGTGTCTTGCTTGTAATAAGCTCTTCTTAATTCCGTCAACTGTCATATATTTACGTTGCTGTTTGGTCATTGAAGGTTTGCTGTCATCAGCCAGGTAACTGTGCCACTCCCCTTCTCCAGACTCACAAAAGAGCAGTGTTTGCTGGCAATGCCAGCTTTATTTATATAGAAAATTTCCTTGTATGTAAACGTGCTTAAAACAAATGATGGAAACATTAAAAACCTGCGTAGGTTTGACAGTCTCTTAAGGCAGTCAAAATGGCAAAATAAAACTTTATGGGAAAACCCAAGGTTTTGAGTCAGCGAGCAGCTTGTTCCAAAGAACAGGAGCACAGTAGCAGAAAGACCACTCGGAAAACTTGGATCTGATTTGAGAAATATTTAAAAGATCTGCACTTGATGACCTGAGAGGTTTGATTGGGTTAACATTGAGTCAGAGATAGGGAGGGAGGCAAGCCATTGAGAGCTTTATGAACTAATAGAAAGCAGCATTGTAGAATAAATATCTGAGATTAATGAATTAGACATTACAGTGCATAAATACCAAATAAAAATAGAGGTTATAAGGAATGTGTCATAGTGATTTTATAAGTTATATTTATTATTTCATATGTTTGTTAGGGTGTTGGGGAGTTTTAGTTGTGTACTTTTATAAATCCAGTCTCTTTGTTTACACTGTTTTACTGTCTCACATTTTTCTTCTTCAGGCTACTATACTCTGGAGTTTGGGTGGTTTTGAGCGTGTGTGTGTGTGACTGGTTGAGTGTATGTGTGAGTGTATGTGAGCTGCAGATTCTTCCTCACTGTTACAACCAGAGCTGCTCCTCCCTGGAGGATGACAATGGAGGAGATGAAGAATGAAGCGGAGACAAACTCCATGGTATCCATGACGCTGTACGCCGTGATGTATCCAGTTTTCAATGAGGTAAAATATCACATGCTGCGGACAAAGGCGCTGATAGTTTGCCTGGACATCCCCTCATCAGGAGATGTCCAGGGAAGCTATCAGCATCAGCATGCCTGTATGAGAAACCAGAGACCCAGTAACACATTTGAAAATGTATCCATATAGCAGGTGATTATAATAATGAATCGACATAGCAGAAACAAAGATGCATATACAGTGCTGTGAACAAGTATTTGCTCACTTCCTGTTTTTTTTGTTTGTTTGGTTTTTTTTGCATATTACATACAGTTACATGTTTTGGATCAACAAACAAATGTAGATATTGGAAAACGATAACAGAAGTAAATACAGAATGCAGTTTTAAAATGATTATTTCATTTAATAAGGGAGAAACTCAACTTTGATTAACCACATTTTTTGGAAAGCTGAGTAGAATGTCACTAGCCACACCCAGACCTGATTACTTGGCAAATCAAGAATCTCTTAAATAGAACCTGTCAGACAAAGTGAGGTAGGCTAAATGATCTCGTAAAGAAACACATCATACCAAGATCTTAAGAAAGTCAAGAGACGAAAATGTCAGTCTGGAAAGGATTATTCACTTTCTAAGGCTTTAGGACTCCAGTAAATCAAAGTGAGAACCATTATGCACAAATGGAGAAAACATGGAGCAGTGGTGAACCATCCCAGGAGTGGGCAGCCTATCAAAAATACCCCAAAAGCACAATCAGCGTACTGCAGGACTGCAGCCCTGATTTGCTTCAGTTAAGGCCATTTTTCATGATATAACAATAAGAAAAAATGGCATATGGGAGAATTTCTAGGTATAAACCGCTGTTGACCAAAAGAACACAAAGGTTTGTCTCATCTGTACCAGAGTTTCTACCAGAGTGTTCTTAATTTTTAGTTTATGTACTTGTGGGTTTGTTTCCCAATAATTTAAAACAGTTTGAATCTATACAAAATATGTTATACTACTTTTTAAAAATATATTTTTATAAATAAATTATACTTTATTTATTTGGAATTTAGTTGTTAAATTTGTTTGCGTAACTTCTTTGACTTGAAGTTTTTGCCTGGTTAGAATTGACTTTATTATATATATGTGTCGTGTATTTAAATACAGTTGTGTAAAGTTTTACGTGTCTAAGTGTTTTCATAAATGTATCAAAATAAAAATTGTGATTAAGTGATTATGTGCTCTCCTTTGATGACATGATAGATACCCACCTACAGGGAGCTGATCAAAGACATACCAAAACCAAACGTATTTGATGCTTTTCACACGTAACTACTGTTAAGTTTAACGCAAGACTGTATAAACCTGACCTGACATCTTTAATCAGAATGCTTTAATTTAGGATGAAAACCTGTGATGGGCGCAGCATGTCCAGATTTGGCATCAACATGTTTGCTTTCCCCCCTTTTTAGCTGGAGAGGATCAACCTATCAGCAGCTCAGACTCTCAGAGCAGCCTTCATAAAGGTAAGACTGTGTATCAGGCAGAAGGCCCGAGACATGAAGTATTGCTTGATGTTGGTTGTTATACCTAGGCTGCATTCCAGCTCGCGTGACACTTTGCAGGTGCATCTGCTTTTTGTCTGATGCCCTCACCAATAATGAGTTTGTTGCTTTGGCAGAATAACAAGGGGCATGTATTCTCCTTGACTGGCATGATAACTGGGTCATTGCAAAATGTGTGTCTGATGCAAACAAAGATAGGTTACAAAGAGAGAAGCTGCGTAAGAGTTGGTTGTAGCTTCTGTTTGGCTTCTGAAGTATATTCAACCTGCATTCTTTTTAATGACCACCAGGGGGCAATCCATGTGGTTGCAAAAGGCTCCACACCTATAGAAGTCTGTGGTAAAATCATCTTTAGGTTTTATTTTTTTGATGAGAGTGTGGGTTCAGTCACTCACTTTGGGTAATACTGAATAAAAAGTTAAGTCAGTTTTGTAAATTTTAATTTTAATTGTTAGATATGTGTATTATCCAGGGCAACTTCTATTGTTTTTTAACTCGGAAGTAGTCAAAATCAGCTGTGTGCTTATCTGATTTATTTGTTTATTTTTTGGTGAAATACAAAGTCCAGTTTTTTTTCCAGATTTTATTTCTACTAACTTTTAATGTCACAGGATAGGTTCTTTTTCCTCGTTGTAAAATTAATTATGTTACTGCTTTCATTTGTCTGTATTTTTCCTTTTGTTTGTTAGAAATGGAGCTGGCCAGAGATGTGGGGAAAAAACTCTTAGCACTCTTACCTTTATTATCAGTTATGCATTAGGTTTTTTTTATGTTCCTTAAACTTGAGCACCTCAGTTTTCATACTTAGTGTTTAAATGAATTAACTCAGCAGGTATTAATAGAACATGAGAGGCACTGATATTCACACTCATGCTGTGATTTGGACACCAGCCTGCAGTGATCAGAAGAGGTTTTTGTTAATATCAGAGCAACCTTCTGATTGCACTGGGATAATAGAAGCACAGTGGTATAGGCATAGATTGCTTCTATACCACTCCAGATGCCAGTTATGTTAACTGTGTGTGTGTGTGTGTGTGCAAATGAAATTTTAATAGAGTTGAAGCTGCTTTATCATTATACAAACCAAAGGGAGATTTGATCCCTTTACAGCTGTTTTACTTTGGCATTTGTGGGGCTTTTGTTCACTTGTCTCTCTGATTAGGCTCTCTGCTGCCCTCGCTGCTTCCTGCCTTGTTGAATTATTCAGGTGGAGAGCTTTTGTACATTCATCTGAGCGCGTCACAGGGGACACCTGACTTTCAATACATTTCTGACTCTGTCCTATGCGCCTTCAGCTAAGCCCCCTTGGTGCTTTTATTGGAGAAGACAAACCGAGCGCCTTGTTTGTCTTGCTCACCTCGCATGTATGACTCTCCTCTTCTGTCAGGCGGAGAGGGAGAACCCCGGCCTGACTCAGGACATCATAATGAAGATCTTGGAGAAAAAAAACGTCCAAATCAACTTCACTGAATCCCTACTGCGTATGGCAGCTGATGATGTGGAAGGTGAGTAGAGAGACGCCATTTTCACACATGCGTTGCAGCTCTGAAATGTTCTTGACTTCACCTTGTAAATGTGTTATATTCTCAGAAAGGCTTGTGTTGTCACATTATATGTTGACTCACAAAGATACAGTCATGTGTCCTCTAATCTTGCCAAAGCAAACTGTATTTGCAGTACTGACAGTGTGTCTAATGATTCAGAGAAACTTGATTGTTACGCATGCACCGGGCAATGTCTAATAGTTAATTGGTTTAACACTGAACATCTGTTCTGTTCTTTATTAAAGCAAACATTGTTTGCTCCCACGCTTTTGGAAGTTTATGGGAAAATGCGTGTACTCTGCAGGAAACACCTGAGGGTTGAAACAGTCAGTTGAGTTTCTAGTTAGAAAGTTAAAACTAGAATTGATACAAAATTCTAAAGTTTTTTGGTTTGGCAGCTTATGAAAAACATAATTCTACATCTACACACACATTTACACACACACACAAAACAGCTTGATTTTTGCAGTTGATAATAAGACACCTTTATGCAATTCAAAATCTGTAGAGAGGCATGAATTAGTTTTTCTCTCTGGTGCACACAGATTTTTATGAGATGTTTCTAAGATGCTGTGCTGCTTAATGGTATTTTCATGCATCTAATTGTGCTAATGTCAGTGCAAGTACAGGCTTGTGTTGTTTTTCGATACAGCCTCACTTTAGATGCTACGTTAAGATGCTCTGTTAGATGTTGTAAATCATCTAGTCTTTGTGGGTGTGCTAAACATCTTTTTTTTGTGTGTGTGTGTGTGTGTGTTTCGTTTTTTTGTTTTGTTTTTTCATCCCACCTGCAGAGTTCATGATTGACCGACCTGAGCAGGAGTTCCAGGACCTAAATGAGAAGGCCAGAGCTCTTAAACACATCCTCAGCAAAATCCCAGATGAGATCAATGACAGAGTACGCTTCCTACAAACTATCAAGTGAGTGCGAATGCACACACACACTCCAGGGTTTCCACCAGCTTTGCAACCCGTAGAGCCTATGCAACATAATTCTTTTTGGGGTTTGTTTTGCTTTCATACCAAAACACTCTTCATACAATAAAAATATTTGCAAAGGCCAAATTACAAATGAAAGCAGAATTGCACATATGCAATCTTACCATTCTCTCTCCACACAATTAGAAATGGGCACCATAGTATTTGCATACTACTAAAATGCAGGTGTTTGTGGTTGAAATTGTCACTTTCTCTTCCTTATAAGATGCGTGACTCTTTATCTATATATTTAATAACTATTTCAAGAATCATACATTGAAATTTGCTGAGTTGAGATCTATTTTTTTTGCTATAACTGTTCATTTATAACAATGCAGTGCTGGATTTCTTTTCTATGCTCTAATAAACATTATAGGGAGATTGTTCAAAGATGGATAAAAACTGGTAAATATGCTCTTTTATGCTTGCATTCTTCTTAAGGCCCATTAGCTGTTTTAAATTTTCCGTCACATCTTCCAAATGGACACCTTACACTTTTCCTGTGGCCCTTTTGTTTGAAATTGTGTAGCAAAACACCTTTGAAAATTCTACAACAATCATTGAAGACCTTTGGAGAAATATTGAGCAAAATGTTCAAACATTTTTCATAGTGTTCATAGTTCATTCCAGTTTCCTAAAAAAGATTATTGATTTAACATAATTCAGTAGGCTATATACTGAGTTTGCATAAATTCAGTATTGCTAGTATCTATCTGATACCAATACCTGCGTTGGTATCAATACTGTCGATATTTAGATCCATCCAACAAGCTCTAGCGGACACCTCTAATAGATGTTTGAGATATATCGGGGGAAGGGGTTGAAGTAGTGCTTGTTTCCGATTTTATCCTTTAGCTTCTTGGTTGAATTTGTGTTGAAAAAAAAAAGTGTTTCATTTTACTTCACAGAGACATTGCCAGCGCCATAAAAGAGCTCCTGGACACAGTCAACAATGTCATTAAAAAATATCAGTACCAGAATCGCAGAGTGAGTAATGAATACGCTACAATTACTACTACTTGAATTATTTCACATTTTCCCCTCATTTCAAATGGATGTTTTTGCTTTATTTTCTGCTCGGCAAGGCCCTGGAGCACCAGAAAAAGGAGTTTGTGAAATACTCCAAAAGTTTCAGTGACACCCTCAAAACATACTTCAAAGATGGAAAGTAAGTATGGCACCACGTGTTATGCCTCAGCTAATCAGTACCCTGTTTTTAAAGACAGATTCTATTGAATCTTGAATTGCATTAAAACATAAAAAAGAGTTGGTAAGCTCTGTGTGCCTGTCATATAATGTGTGTCTCTGTTAAACATGTGCAAATGTATTTTCTAAAACTGCCGGGTCGTTGTTGCATATAGTGTGCATAAAGATATTTCACAGTAAAAGTTAAGAAAGCAGTGGTTTCTAAACACAGAGGAAACGGGTCCAGAAATTGTTGAATAATAAAGCATAATTTAAGATTTGTCAACGTATTATACTAAAAAATGTCTAGTTTATGCTACATTAACAGTGGAAATTAGAACTATGGACTTGAAGCACTGGTTTGGAGAATAGTGGTGGAGTAGATTGATGAAACCAAAGTTATCTGGAATATCGGGCTTCTCTAATACCTTGTCTCAGCAAACTTTTCAAATATTTTAGCAATGAAAGGAAATTTTGAAGAGGTCTATAACTTGTGTGTAGTGCTGTTTGGATAACCCCCTGTTTAAAGCACTTGGGGTCTTGCATCAAAGAGCAATTTATGAGTGTGACCACAGAAACTTTATGGTTGTGGGTAAGTGGTTGTGGGTAAGTTGAGGGTTTTATTTCAGTTTTATTTCAGTTAATATTTCAGATATAGCCACTATAGAAATTGGGTGAAAAGATTCCATATTTTGGGATGTGGGAGATTGCAATTGAAGCGGCAAAATGTTAACGTTACTGCAGTCCTTATTTGAGAAAACTGGTGTTTGTGGTTTTGTAGGAGGAACTAGCTCATACTTCGTTATCATCAGATTAATAATAACTAATGCAAAATGTTCCAAGGTTTTTGCACACGGACTTTTGTCCGTGTGCAAACAAAGTGTCATCCTGTTTTGTGTCAACTGTGGATAAAGTTGTTAGAGAGGGTCACAGGAGCATCCATGCTTGCAGGACTTCTACTCCTATTGTTTAGATTTGAATATCCTTAACCAATTAGATAAGGGAAGGCAGCTTTTCCACTTTTGTTCTAAAGTTGTTGCTCACTCTGTTGTGCTGTGTATATGATGTTCTCCAGTGAGTTTTCACAAGCTATAATTTTTCTTTGTTCCCAGGGCAATAAATGTCTTCATCAGCGCAAACCGGCTCATCCACCAAACCAACCTCATACTGCAGACCTTCAAAACCGTGGCCTAGCCCCACACCTCACCCCGACCCCACCCAAGAGACCACAGAGCCCCCCCTTCTCATTGTCCCTTGGGGAACAACTGCTAAAATGGCAGAGGCTTGAAGAGCACCTCACCCATATATGTAAATTAGAGTTGATTTTTTTTTTTAGGGTTGGGGTCGATGTCATTGGAGTCGAGATTCTAGATTCCAGTTCAAGAGACTGAAAAGTGCCATTTGTTTTTTTTTCAATGACGATTTTCCAGTCTTGAAGTGGAACTGAACAGGGGCCCAAAGTCTTGGTTAATTGATTTTATTTGGACAGTTTTAATTTATAACCCAAAACTTGTTTGGGAGGTGGTGAGGCGAGGTGTTCATTAAAGACTAATTGCCATTTTTCTAATATATTCATGTTGATCATTTTACTTTTAGCTTTTCAGTCATGGCTACACATCTGAGACTACATCCAGTAGGGATTGTTCTCAGTAGTCTATACCAGTTTTCTCTTCTCGCCTCCTATTTGTGTCATTTTTGCCACGGGCTGTATGGATTGACAGAAGCACCTGGCTGCAGGTCAAACAGTTGCGAGGAGAGGAAGCAGAGTTGGACATTTGAGAGGCAGATTTCGTTTCTCTTTATTATCAGAAGAAAGAAAGCCAAAAGACTTCCAGCACAGTGTGCGCCTTACCAAGTCCTGTAACATTCCCTCCTCTCAAGAGTGTAATGAAGTGGAGCCAGTCCCTGCTGTTGAGGGATGTAGAGAGAAAAGAGTTCTGTATTTAACTGGTTGCAAATGTTCAATAAATAGTTTCCAAATGATGATGCTTTTTATCTGTGTCCGTGTCCAGTGTGTGTGGGGTCAACCTTTCTGTGTGAGTGGGAAAGGATTTGCTTTGCAGTGGCGTGGCCTGAAAAATAGATGTGTGGTAACATTGTTTTATTCAAAAAAGGATTTTACCATTTCAGAACAATGATACTTTGATAACGCTGCCAAGTGGTCAGTTTGAAAATGGTTGCAGCTTTCTGTGGCGCTGTTTGTTTTCTTTTTTTCCCCACTTGTCAAAACAGGTTTGCTTACATTTCTTTAAGTAGCCTTGAGCCGTTGCTGGAAGAAGATACGAGGGATGGGATTTCTATTAATCTCCTTACTTTCTCAAAAACAGTGAACCTATCAGATCAGGGGGGTGGGGAACTCCAGGCCTCAAGGGCCGGTGTCCTGCAGGTTTTAGATATCACCCTGGGTCAACACACCTACCGGTAAATCAAATGATTAGTTCATTACCAGGCCTCTGGAGAACTACAAGACATGTTGATCAGCTGTGTTGGATCAAGGACACATCTAAAACCTGCAGGACATGGGCTCTCGAGGCCTGGAGTTGCCCCATTCCTGTATTAGATGAATCAAAGAGAAGCTTATGTGCCATTTTAATCTATATGCAGTAATCACCGGATTTAAAAAAAAAAAAAAAATTCTATTGATGTCTTACAGCATAACGACCACCTAAAAATGTGATTGTGTTATTTTCAATAGTTAAATTATGAAATATTTCTCGGTATTTTGGCACAAACTGTGTAATGTAAATTGCAATGAATTTGAACTCTAAACATCCAACAGCCGTGACATTTTGATGAGCAGACCCATACTGAGCATCCCAAATGCAAACTAGCCAAACCAGGAAGCAGCTGTCGAGATATTCAGTTGCCAGAAAACGGTGCAAAAGCAAAACATGGTGAAAGCTGTGTTTGAAAAGGCAGCGCTATGGGAACATAGACAAGGAAAAAAAATGTAGTTTTAGTAGAAAGTTACCGAATGCTGTATTGTTATTAAAATACTTGGTTTGCTAGCATTTGTCACTTTACAGTTGTCAATGTGGTAACAATACTATATATAATACATATATAGTGTACTATACTGTCACGCTACCGGGCACTTTAATGTAAAGTATTTCCCGAAATTTCTTACATTTCATAAAAGCTTATTTGTAAAACTACTACTTCCTACAACAACTAATAAAAAGCTAATACTAGAACATCTTTTTTAAATGTTGGTGAGTAGAAATATAAAAAGACATGAAATGTGAATACAGGAAAATTATTACTTTTTTTTAACGTCATCCACCCACAACTGTTAAAAAAAAAGCTGTCAATCCCCTCAAAAACCAAACCCCCACATACATTTTTAAAACTGTCCTCTGAATACAAAGAAAATGGCATGCTATGCCACACCGATGGCTTTCGAAAAGAATGAATCGCAATTATCTTTTGTCTTTGTTATACACACTTAAACATTAAATGAAAACAAAAGTAATCATTTGGCTTAAATACCTCCCAACCTCAAATAATCATTTGCAGTAGTTACAGAGGAGACCTGTACAACCAGAGGAATACATTCATTCATCCATCCAACCATTCCTTCATTTATGAATTCATCCATTCCTCCCTTATGCTAGAAAATTAACCTTTTACAATGCACCTGATTTGCTCACAAAAACAAAGAGAAAAAAGAAAAACAAAGATTTTATTTTGCTGGTTACAGCAAAATGAATGATCACAGTTTGTTTGATTTAAAAAATATATATATATATATATATATAAATCATTTAAAAAATACGCAATAACAGCAACTCATTGCATTTAGGCACATAGACATGGTCAAGACAACTCCCTGAAGTCAAAACAGTATTTAAATGGTGAACAAAGGTGTTTTTAGTGAACCTGTCATAGTTGTTGGTGCCAATCTGGCTGTTCTGAGTATTTCACAAAATGCTTATTTACTTTCTTCACACAACCGTCTCTAGTTATTGAATGTAAATTATGCAATGAATGTAAAGGCTGGAATGCAAATACGGGTCTAAGATATCATTTTCAAACTGTGTGTGATGGTTCATACCAATAACAGCATGAGCCTTTCATTTTGGGGAAAATTGGGTCAAGGTCACAACAAATAATAAAATATATAAGAACTTTATATTACCAACATTATCCTTAAACCTTAGGAGGAAGGGCCTCGTCTTTCAAGACCTTGTATTGACATGTTGACTTTACTCTCAAAATAGTATTTAAACTTTATTCTCTAAGCTCTTTCTATCTAACACATTACAGAGACACTTAGCGTTATTGTCTTGTCAAAGAATACTTGGCATATTGTGGTGATTCGATCGGGATCGAACCACCGACCTTACAATTAATAGGTGACCTGCTCTACCTCCTGAGCTACAGCCACCCCAGATAAAAATGCTTTCCCCATCTCTGATTCTTCCAACCTGACGACTGGACAAATTCTATGGGCCGTTATATTGTGGATTTAGTAAATGTTTATACTCTCTTCAGGTGGCATAGGCAGGACAGTTAAAATATTTGCAGTTCTTCAAGTCAACAGTTTTATATTAAGGACTATTTAAATGGTCACATTCATATCACACAGCATTGGAACCACTGTGTCCTTCAAAACGCTTGTAGTTATTCAAGGTAAACAATTAAGCAGTATTCAGGTAAGTGTAGGGATTTTACTGGCACTTGGTGCAAAATAAGCAAACTATTCACAAAACAATAACACAATAAATTCACAAATGCCCCTGATTCAAAGATGCACATTCATGATCTGATTCACTGTGTTTAATAAGTGTCCATCGTAGTGCCTTTACATCTTATCCATTAGTTCTATGTCAAGTTCAGCATCCCCACCCTCTTCAACACCTTGTCCACATTGGGAATGAGTTTTTCCTGAAAGTCCCACAGTCGTTTATCCACATTAAGGTGCTCCAGGGTTAATGATCCCTGTAGAGCCACACGGACATGAATGATCCGACAAACATCTAGTGGAACCTTGTAGCATTCTCCAAAATTCTTGATCACTTCATGGACTGAAGTCCCCTCCACCATTCTGTGACACAAAACACAAGAGAGTTAACTGCTTGGAGTTAAGATTTTAAAATGCATTGATTACTGAAGATCCTGCTCTTTAGAAGAGCCCTGAAGGATCTTTGAAAGTTTCACAAATCAGTCTTGGGGGACCCTTAGTGAATGTTCCCTGGGTTTTCTGGCAATACCTTAAGGGATGATCTCTGAAAAATTGGCAAAAATAACCCTCAGGTTGTTCGGACATTCTCTAAACTGTGAACTTTAGGAAACCCGTAGGGAGCCTTCCCTCAAGGTTTCTGTTTCCTGGGTTCATGTTTACATTTTGTGTTAGCTCTGTATGAGCAATATGGCACATTTCAAATCTGAAAGTTCAAGTGTTAATCAAATTAGATGGCAACAAAATATCAACTTTTGTTAAATGTGTTTTGTACCTGGGACTTAAGGTTTATTGTACTTGGAGCAAACTGTTGTTCCAACCAGTTTTGATGTTTCTTGTATGCTTATCATGGTTTCCTAGAAGTTCAATAACTAAGGTACTTATTTTTTTAAACTTGCAGTCAAATGTATAATTAAGTAAACCAAAGACCTGTATCCTAAATAGAGTAAATCTTCTGTCTGACAAATTCAGCTTACCTTGGTCGAACTATCATCTTGTGTGGATGGTACATGTTTCTGGCGGGGTCCTCCCTGTAGATGTGCTCCAGAATATTAATTCCTGGCACCCCGTTCCACTGAGGCAGGTGAAACCGTCCACTTGGCTCAAAGTGTTTCTTTGGGAAAATATGATTCTCAATAAGGAACACTCCTGCCTTCAAATCAGATAAAAACAAGTCAAATACAACTACTTATGGTATGGGATACTGAATTTTTGATGAACTGTATTTTCAAATTCATTACAAGAACAGCCTACATTTGGATGCTGATTTCGGAGCGTGCTCATCAAAGACATCAGGTCATCGTGCTGGTATGGCATTATAATCTCATCAATGTCATTCAACAGGACGTAGCGAGAACGCTCCATTGATCTGTAAATGCACTCATTAAGTGTGGTCAGTTGGCCATAGTAATGCAAATCCCCTCCATGCTTTGAGTGAAGCCAGCCACGAGATGGATTCAGATGCTTGTCAATGGGCCAAGGAACCATTTCCACAAAGCCCTCGTCACTGTAACTCTGCAACAGGCGATTGAGCTCTGGACCACAGCTGGTGTTATAGATCACCACTCTGTTCACACCCAGCAACCTGGGACAAAATAAGGCAAATTAGTTCATCGTTGTCAGCAAACAAAACAGATAACTAAAAACAATTGTGGTTTACATAGCAAACAGTTGGTCATTTCTCTATCCTTAGTATAATATTTATACTGTGTTATACTATTTATACTGTGTTAGCCTGTACCTGTCACAATAGCTTGCAGCTATGTGACTGATAAAATACACAGACAAAAAATAATAATATAATCATTAAGAGTAGTCTGTGGTGTTTCTCAAGTAGGAAGGACACTGTCTATTCCTAACTGGTTCTGAACAGCTGGAAATCCACAGTTTACAGTGCTAAAATCCATTTTCCTACAGTGTCTGAAAAGACGTACAGCTCCTGCAGAATTTTAAACCGTGCTCCCATAAATATTTAATGCCAAGTGATAGACTTCTGAGGGGCAAGACACTGTCCAACTACACTTTTTTTAAAAGTCCAGAAGCAACAGGAGTAACGGACACAACTGTGCAATGTGATACAATCCAGACACTCCATTGAAGAGGAGCCTTTGCAGAGCTTGTTAGGTTTCATAGTGTGTCAGGACCAGCTGCTGTTTCACATTTTTGACTTTGTAGCTTGTGGTGGTGTTGCCGTACTCACTTGTACATCTCCAGAGTCTGTGCAAACTGAAGCACATTGTTGTAGTCACCAAAGAGGTTAGAGATGCAGACTGTGAAGTCAAACTGCATGTTTTCTTCCTTCTGTCCAACAGTGTCTTTGTTTCTTATTGGGAGCCATTGATCAGTAGATGGACTCTCTTTGTCTGGTGTAGTCAAGAGAGTGACACGTCTCGCATTGCAGTTCTGAGGAATCTGACACATGACATCCGTAGTGACAAAGGGAAAACCAAAGTTATCTGGATGCTGGAAAATTGCTGCTGGAGTGGTTTTACTCAAATAACCAGTACAGCAGAAAAAGCAGTGAAGGGGTTGGATGGAGTCTCTCCTAAATATGCCAATGATGCGTATATCAAAATCCTTCACTCTTTGGTCCATGTAGGCTGACACCAGTAAGTGCTTGGTATTGTTAAGCGGCGTGATGATCTGCTCGGATATCCTCATGGAGCAAGCACTTGGCCGCCCAAATGGTTTTGGGATTGATTTGTATGTGCTGGGCGTTTTCACAGTGAAGACCAAAAAGAGGAAGAGTGCAGTGATGAAGACAAGAACCAACTTCTTTTTAAAACGCTTTAACATCTCCATCCAGCCAGTGGAGATGAAACCAGTTCCCAACCTGTACCAGAACACAGAATTGTGGTTAGTTTCAAAACTAGCAAAATTTGATAAGCTGATAAAGACAATTAAGAGATAGGATAACTGGGGTGAGATCTGGCCTTAATCTGCCTTGGTAGATATTAATAAAGGACACTATCTATGACTTTTTAATTCTCCTGAATGATAGGTGCTGGCCACAAATGTGCCGATGTAGGAAGAGAAGAAATCAAAAACCAGAAACAAATAGTTTTTCCAAAGTGTTTTTAACAAAGTCTCCAATTTTTAAACAGCTGCAACGTCGTCCTCTGTATAACTGTATCCGAGTTTCTGTACTGGAATATCATTAAAAACTAACACACTCAAACATTTGTGTCTTCAACCCAGCTGTGACACAACCCACCAAGTTACGAGAAATCGAGAGCCACACAATCGGCTGCAAATATTGTGACGAATGCCTCATGATGTGATATCAAAATCAGCGAGCGACACCCATGACACAGGTTGCACAGCAAGCATAAAAACAACATCATTAGCCATTCCTGGGTCCACTCTTCGTTGATTCCCATAGCCAAAACAAACACTGTGGTATCACTGAGTTAAAAGTGGCCCAAATGATTTCATCTTCAATAAAATGATCAGTGTGGCTGCCTCCCAGCTGTTACAGTAACATTAACATCCAGGTATGCATGAAAGAGAGTTTGAAGTTAGCAGGAAGTTAGTTTGCCAGTTTCAATCTAAAGATGACATGCCATGATCCGACTGGCACGATCTGATATCGTCATGTTGGTGTTGTTCCCAGATAATCATACTAAATGTTGTTCCAGGATCAACATTGCAAGTGACCAATCAATGTTGTGACTTCGGGAAAAAAACGCAGTAAAACAAAAAACTGCGAGAAACCGCCTCTGTCCGCCGATCAACGGACCCTGACCCTAACCCTTTAATAAACGGTAAGCAGAATTGATATTGTCCTTGCAACATTGGAAGTTCATAAATGCACAAATGGCTTGGCGCGCAAAAGAATGACGTCACAACAATGTGATTGGTCACTTGCAATGTTGAACCTGGAACAACATTTTCATGATGATCTGGGAACAACACCAACACGACGATATCAGATCATCCTTCTGACTGACGGATTTCTTAAAACAGTAAATTAAACAGCACCAGTGTTTGTATGCTTTATGAAGTTGGGCTAGCTGGCATAGAATGGCTAGCTACAGAGCTATGGTTAAGATAATACAAACAAATTTGCAGAACGAAGATTGAGGATGAACATTAACCTTTTCACCCCGAAACCCCTTAATGTGAGAGTCAAATACAAATACAACCATATAACAGGTGTACAGGCTAAGCCTACGCTTGAAGCCACTGAGGTGTATGACTGGTGAAGTTGACAAGAAAGTCCAGTCAATAACTCCAGCTGTATTTACCTTGTCAGTTTAAGCAGTCTAAGCAATCACCATTGATTGCATTTGATATTTCAAAGTTGATCGTAAGATCCAACATCATCCAACATAAATCACCGCAGTCACAAACTGTTTGGTCCTTCCAACCAGCAACACCTGACCCTAATTAAATGTTCTACCTCCCATACAATCATTTACAAATACAAAAAGTGACACCTAGAGGCGCACATAAGGTAATAAGCAAAACACAAAAATGGCTCCTACACACCAGGCCCTA